ACTGGAATACATACTAATTATATATATATATATAAATATGTATGCATGGCAGCATATGCCAGTAGTTATATATAAATAATTGGTGCTATGTAACCGTTGAAGAGATTTTTCGGCCGAGCTCCACCGCCAATTTGCGGTTTTTGTGTCTTGATGTTTTTCGAACAAATGGAGGGACCTACAGTTCAACCTAAGCCGCCTTCGAACGGCTGATGGTTTTTTTGTAAGGAGCCTTTATTTCATGTCCGAAAAACACTTGGAGGGGTTGACATTCTTTGTCGAGGGGCGACCGCAATTAGAAATTTTAACATAATCTGTTATTTAAATTAATTTTCCATAACTTTTGGATGTTGGTGGCGCCGAGATATGAACTCGCAATGCTAACCACTTGGCTACCGCAGCCGCTGCAATTATTCTATAGTTCTAATAGTCTTGTTAGTTGAAATTTGCTGTTGGTACTCATATGAAATTTCATTTTTTTTTACCTACTATTTTTAGAACTCCAAATAATTTACTATTTCCACAAATTATGTGTAGTTTACGTACGTTATGACCGAAAGTTATGTAGCTCCAGTGTATGTACTATTGCAAAATTACTGGGATTTTAATTGTTGCTAGCAATTATAATTTTGTTCCACCAAATGTGCTTCGTATGCCGAATTTCAAACTATTTCTTAAAAAAAAAAATCAGCATTGCAATTATACTGCATAACTACAGTAATTAAAAATTCTAGAGAAAATAGCATGAAACAAAAAAAGAAAGGTAGTTTTACTCAATATAAAATTACAGAAAGCAATTTTATAAAATTTAATATTATTTTCCTATTAATTTAACGATATTGCCACTTTAAAAATATTTCATAATTTTTTTTTAGTTCTAAACTAGATTTAAGAAAATACAATGCAAAGGCGTTAAATTATAGACCAAACTGGAGATGTGATGACAGTGATACAAAACACGAAACGTGCGCCAGCTATTTAAATCAGTGTTGCCAAAAAGATAATAGCTAAATAATCACCCTTCACCTTGATTTTGTGTCATGGAAAATAGTTTCATTATGTTTGCTAGAAAAAACTGTGGTAAATACGAAACTGATATATTTTTGTAAAATTAAAAATTAATCGTGATTTTGTTAATATTATTTTCTTTTTTATTAAATCTATTAATATTATTTTCTTTACTTTAATTTAAATTAATTTGATTTGATTCTAATTTGGTTTATTTATTTTATTTCATTTTTTCATTTAGAATTATTTTGTTAATTTTAATTTTTGTATAATTTCAATAATTTTTTGTTTGTAGTCTTGGTAGCTGAATTTTTTTATTTAATTTTATTTTTTATTTTTTATTTTATGTTTTTTCTTTTTCTATTTGGTTTTGTTTTATTTTAATGTATTCATTTCATGCAGTTTTAATTTACTTTATTTAATTTTAGCTTTTTATATTGCATTTCACTATATTTTTCTTATTTTATTTAATTTATATATTTTTGTCTATGTTATTTACTTTTTGGTTTTGGTTTTATTATAGTATTTAACATTATTTAATTTTAATTTTTTTCTTTAATTTTTGTTTATTCCAAATAATTCAATTCGATTCGATTTTATCAAATTTTATTTTAATTTTTTTTTAATTTCATTTAATTTATTTTTTTTTTATTTTTTTTTTATTTTTTTTTTAAACATTTTTTATTTGATTTATTTGAATTTATTTTAATTAGTAACATTTTCAGAAGTAACAAGTAAATATTTCTTTCTAAGAATCTCTCAAGTTGATTAGTTTTTAATTGTTTCTAATACAAGTTCTGTCCAGACACTCTTTGCAGTTTCAGTTACGAAAAAGAAACATTCGAACACCCAACTCTTAAATACAAAAGTATATAAACAAATCACGTGACCAAAGTTTTTCTTACTTAAAAACTGAAGCCCAAGAGAATTAACACTCGATTTATATATAAATCCCGAGGCTTACTAACAACTAATCCCATATATGTACATATATAGTTAAATATGTGTTCGAATATCAGCGTATTGGCTGAACTTTCTGCGTATATATGCGTATGTAGTGACAAAACTGATGAAGGCATTTAGAATACAAATACAACTTCGTCCTATGTAATATTAGCAATACATTTTCACACACACACACATACACACACCCAAACAAAAACATGCATACACGCACATTCGCTTTTGACAGCATCACACTTGAAAAGTTTTACACAAACTGTAGTTTCGGTTAAGGCTGATTAGCTGTTGTATGTACATTGAGCGGCTTCTTAAATGGCTGTCAAGAAGGAGGTGGAGAATGTAGAAAAGGGGAAAGGGCTGGAAGAAGAAATTCTGTTGATTTTATAGGCAAGTCAAGCAATTTGGGTTTAGAGTTCAACATATAACTGCTGCATGCGACATACTATTATTTTTGTTGTTGTATAAATTGTTGCTGGGGTTTTTTAGTTTACTTAGCTGCTTGTTTGGTTTTTGGTAACGATCTAAGTTGATTAGACTTTTGGTTTGGACTACCGACCGATGAGAAAAACTTTATCCTTAAACGATTTACAGTTTGTAAAATAAACTAAATCAAGTGCCAAGACAACGGTTTTGTATGTTAGTAGGCATATATGCGTAAGAGTACGTTAGCATCAACAAATATTTGAAGTTTTGATAAGAAGTTTAGACAGGCATACACTCCTATACGAGGGGATTAACACAAGTTCGACCAATTGGTGACTTTCAACTTGCTTTTCTTAAAACGAAAAATACAAAATCCTTTGCACTTTCTTTATTCGTCCTCCTTTCAAATTTAAGAACGATCGGCTAAAATTGAGACCAGAAAACGCAAGAGGGTCAGCCCAAGTTGCACCAGCAACGAAAACTGAAATTCGGGTTTCAACGTAATTTGCAGCCAATAAAAATATTCAGTGAATGCAAAATTTCTTATGGAACGATGGCACCATCTTCAAAGACTGTTTCTAAGTGGTTCTGAAGATTCAAAATTTTTCCGTAGACGACGAGCCTCGAGTAGGTCGACCAAAAACTTCTACTGATGACGTCACTGTGGCTCTGGTGAAGTTGGAAATTGAAGAAGATCCACGATTGACACATTGATCAATATTAAGTAATCAACTGGGGTACACGAAGAAGTCCGTCCGTTGCTCAATTTTCTTTCCCAAAAAAGTTCGAAAATGGCCAGTCTAGCAACTTTAGTAAAGTCGTAACTGGTGACAAATCTTGGTTTTATGATTACGATCCAGACACCAAACAGCAGTTCATGGTATGATTCCCAACAGGAGCACACTCATCCGTAAAATCTAAGCAACGAAAATCAGTCAAAGTATTAATGCCAGTTTACTTCACCCGATCTAAAATCGTTGCTATTCCATTGGAGGAGGGTCGGACAGTGACTGCAAGATGGTACACCGAAGTTTGCTTACCAAAAGTATTGATAAAGTTGTTGGAAAACAGGAGAAAGAGAATTTTCGGCGCTACTTTTTGCATCATAACAACGCGCCATCCCACGCCGCTGAAATAACGAGTAATTTTATTGCGATCACTGGAATCGCAGAAATACATCCATCTCCATATTAACCGGATGTAGCACCTTGAGATCTCTGGATATTTTGAAAAATTAAGATAAATTTAATGGGAAAGGTCTTTAAAAGCTTCATAAGCTTAGAAGGCAAGATTTTGCAGACTGTTTTCAGAAGTGTATCTATAGGCTTATTAAATGCATTGAAATCAATGGCGATTATGTAGAAAAGATAAAAAAGGACAAATATTGCGAATAAATAATTAAGGCTTTTAATTTTGCTGGCCAACTTATCGAATTTTTGTTAAATCTCTCGTATACATATGTGGTATAGTATTAAACATTTTATATGTAAATATATATGTATGCGTATCATTAACAGTCCTAAAAGCATTTTCGAAAAATATCTAATCACGTTATACGATACGCAAATGCGTAGTCTCGTATGTGCACACAAAATTTATTTGTATTTCTATATACATATCTACATATATATGTATATGCATTTGCATTCTCAATGTTGCGTTCAGTTGTTGACTTTGCGCTTAGCTTTTATTACAAATACGACATACTTAAGTTTCTTCTCTGCCGATTGCTATATTTATCATTTATTTAGCAAACTAACAAATCTCAGTTTTTCAACTTTTCTAAAATTACAGTGGAATGAATGGAGAATAAATTTCTTAAAGATCATTTTTACAAAACTAGGTTTTTAATCAAGCTTTGATGAAATTTTTTTTGTACTTTGACTGCTTGCTATGCGGTTTTTTTTTTTTTGAAAAATTATAAAAATAGATATTTGATAGCGAAAAAATTCGTGATAAAATGTATGCAAAATGCCACAACTCTAATCGAATATATAGTAGATTGATTTTTGTATTTTGGTTATTTGGTCAGTCTCTGTGGTCCACTACTTGGGGAGAAAAATAGTCTTTCTCTTAATCTTCGCAAAACCTGTGACCCGAATTCAAGTTAATCGAACCATAAATTCTATTTCAGTTGGAATAGTTCGGTTCTTGGTCCACTATATGGAGAAAAGAGTAGTTTTCATGTTAATTTAAGCAAAGAGCTATCTGTCAACCGAATTTCAAATGAATTATATTTTCAAAATAGATCAGTCCCTGAACCACTATTTGCAAAAAAAAAAAAAAAAAACATATAAACATTTTCCAAAACCATTGAAAAAATCTGACAGGCTGTTTTTTTTTGTGTTTCGCTTAACACAAATTAACGAATCCGTGTAAATTTTGCAGGTATGCCGAATGCAGTGTTTAGTCTCTCACATACTGGAAATGCTTATCCAACGGTAAATGGACCAGACTTTAGGATCACCCCCTTTTTATTGGATTGAAAAGTGTGAAGCGTTTCTGGCCACTCTGATATTAAAGATAGCCAACAAATTTCCTCACTTGCGTGAATTATGGGCTATTGTTTTTTAATTTTTGGTATTGAAAGTTACAAAATTTTCACTTACCTTCATAAACGGTTAAAGTCGCATCGGCTGATACAGCATCACCAACACCATTCTCGGCTACGCATTCATATGGAGCATCATCACGACCAGCACGTACTGGTTCTATACGCAATATGGATATACCGCCGGGTTGCTCCAGAACTGTATAACGGGATTGAGTGCCTGAAGAAGAGAATTATTGAAATTAAAAACTTAGCTTGATAGAAGGTCACACAAAAAGAAAAAATAGGGGGAAAATTAAATAGTTTTAAGAAAATGGTATAACTAAATTCATGACTAAATTTAAAACTCCTTTAAAAACTCTTAAATAATTTTAATTTTAAATGCATAGAAAATTTTAAATAATATTTTCAAATTTTTTTTTTTTATTTCCATTTCTCTCTGTATTTTTTATATAGTTTCTAGCAACAACAATTTGAATTGTCCTTTTTTTATATTTTTTTTGTTTTTTAATATTTTAAAATCACTTAAAATCACCATTTTCATAATGCAAAAAAAAAAATCAAAATTTCTACTTACCAGACACTTTCTTAGAATTCTTACGCCAAACAATCGATGGTGGTGGATCGCCACGAGCCGCACAATAGAAACTAGCCACGCCGCCTACACGTACACCCTGGTTTTGTGGTTTCTTGATGATCTCCGGTGGATCTGTTAAATAGAATAAAGAAGAAAAAATAAATTAGAATTGCCATATACATACATACATATATAAATACATAAAAACTTAGATTGCAGCAGATCGATGAAGAATCCAGTGACTGAGCTCACAAAGCCGCAAAATGAAAGTAAAACGACGAGACGACAATGATTCGAAGCAACACGTAGAATGGACAACGAAAAAAAGAAATAAAAAAGGGGCTTAAAGTGCTCTCCAAACGACAGATCTACACACGCTTGCGTGGATAGATAGAAATGCAAAAAAAAATTTAACATTTATGCGCAGCAAAAGAGGAGCAACATTAAATCCTTTTTCAAACACAAGCCTTGAAATGTGTACATACATACATACATTAGTATGTACATACATACATATTTCCGGTGTGTGCGCAACTATGAGCTGCGAACAAAAATAGTGGGATTTTTCCCATGTTACCTCAAAATAAACGAGTAACAACAAAGCGTAATGTATTGCTGGAAAAGAGCACGTAACCAGCTTTACCGTTAAGGCCCTAAACAAATCATAGGTATGAGTATATGCGTATGTGTGTATTATTCATACAATATATATATGAGTATATACGAGTTTAAATGTAGGTATAGCAAGTGCAATATAGATTACGTGGATATGACAAAATGAAAAATTAAACAAAGAAATGATTTTTTAAAAATAATTCAAGTGTATGCGTATATATGTTAATACTACCTAGGTATTGTTATAATAAGTTAGACCGATTTTTGGCACTATTTTGTAATGTTCTTTAACTAATAACTGCTAACAGCAATTTATTATTTATTTATTTACAATTTATTTAATTTATTGTTTATTGAAGAAGAATATTTCAATATCTTCCCATTTGAAATGCCTTTTTTTATTGGTTTTTGACATACATATATATGTATGTAGGTCTATAATTACAAACGAACAAGGCTTGCAAATTATTGAATTTTAATATCAAATTTAATAGAAAGTTCTTCGCGTGCATCTTCCATTTTATGGTCCATTTAATAGACCGACTGAAGCGGTGCGTAAATAAGCAGAATCGTCAATTTTGGAGTGGAGATCAGCCAGAAGCATTTCAAAAGCTACCAATTCATCTAAAATATAAGTCACAAACTGGTGCAGTTTATGGGTTGGTGGCATCATCGGACCGTACTTTTTCAAAGATGATGCGAATTGTAACGTAATTGTGAATGGTGAGCGCTACCGTGAGATATCAGTCTTTTTTGTGCCAGAAATGCAAATGCTTGACTTGCTTGATATGTGGTTTCAACAAGACGGTGCCACATGCCACACATCAAGTGAAACAATGGACCTACTGAGAAGCGAGTTCGGTGAACATTTTGTTTCACACTCGGGACCGGTCAATTGCATTGGTCTTATGTCTATAAAGACAAGCCCGCTTCAATTGACGCATTGGAGGACAACATTGAAGCATTTATTCGTGAGATACCGGCCGAAATGTATGCCAAAATCGGACTAAGCGGATGGACCGTTTGGAGCACAGTCACGGTCAAAAATTGCATGAAATAATCTTCAAATGTTAAATTATCGATTCAAAAATAGATTTCATGCAGTTTTCTGAATGTTATGTCTTTTTTTTTAAACCTTCCTTTAGCTCTTAAAAAATCACTCTTTATATGATGTTACGACGCTACGATGCGGTTATTTCGCTTTAGTTATGCTCAATTAGGCTATGCTACCTTATATTTTTATGTTATGTTGCATTACATTTTTAGTGACAAGTTATTCTATTTTATGATATATTATGATATGTTATGTTATGTTATGCTTTCTCATATTATGTTATGTATTGTTATGGTGTGATATTTTGTGATGTTAAGTGTTTAATGTTATTTCGGTTATGGGTATCTGTTCTTTCACCAGCATATGTTTCCTTATGTTGTGGCTATGTTCTAATAAGGTAACTTTTCTTATGATATTTTATCTCAAAAGAAATTAAGCAATGTATTGTATTATTATGTTATGCTGTGTTTTTATGTGAGGCAGTGGTATGTTTCGGTAAGATACGGTTACTCCTCCTACGCTGTGTGTCGTTATATTATGCTTAATTATATTGTGTTATGTTATGTAACGTTATAGTATGGTAATTTATGTTTTGTTTTTGTTGTTATCTTATTCTTGCTATGCTACGGTATGCCAGTATGTTTTCTTATGTTGTTATGTTCTCTTAGTATTATATAATATTATGTTATATCATGTATATTCCTTATGTTATGGTATGTTTTGTTACGCTAAGTTATTTTGTGTTATGTTATATTTATGGTATCTTATGCTAATTTACGCTTTGTCTTCTGATGCTATATTATGGTGTGTTCAGCTTGTTATGTTTATGTCATGCAAGGCTATATTTTCATATGAAGTGTTGTTACTTTAAGGTATGTTAAGTCTTCTCTTGTTATGTTTACTCATAAACTATACCTCTTTATTTTACTCACTACTCTGCGCTATCTCCGCCTAAAAGTATGCATGTACTTTTTATGTGAATCGATGGTGAGACAACCATGCATGTATAAAGTGTATGAAATGTAGCCCACATATATATATATATACAATACATTCATTGTCGTCCACTTTGGCAGCATTTGTTTACAGTGCGAAAATGCGCAATAATCACGAAATGTAAAGAATATGCGCAAACACATATGTACATACACGTTTAAGTATATGTGACAATTTTTGCATACATATATTATATGCACATATGTATGTATATTTGGTTGTTATTGATTATTCGCTGCATACCAATATATTATATATATAAAATTTTTCGCGCTGCGCTTGTCAACTGAAATTTTTTATTAATATTTTCCTTTTTTTTGCCTTTTTATTATTTTTTATGTAATTATTTTTGCTACTTGCTTATTGTTTTTGTGCCATTTACGGCATATCCTGTTGCTGAGTAAAATTTTGGTCGATTCGACATATGTTTATGACTGATTACATTCGGATGTGAGAAACAACATTTTTTTTTTTTTCATTTAATGAATGAATTTTTAATTTTCTTTTTTTGCTGCAATATTAAAATTGTATGTTATATTTAATTGAGTTCCTGTTTATTGTTATAGGTAATTGTATACTTTTATTGTTGCTGTTGCAGCTATTGTTTTCCATTTGGTTTATTCACTTAAAATGTAAAATTAATTTTTCATGAACAAATATTTATGTGTTTGTGTGTAATGGAAGTGAGAGTGAAAGTAATTTATATGTGCATATGTATGTATATATATATGTAAACATATTTATTTTGATGAGTTTGTAATTGGCGTTTGCATGGTATCATAATTAAAAGGGTGAGTGAAAAACAATAGGGAGTAATGATGCTGTAAAATTAAATGTTTGAAAAAACCAGAAAATAAAGGGCTTACAAAATTTGTAAATTGTTTAAGCTAAAACTGATTAATATATTAAAAAAAAATTGATAATTAGTAGGAAAATTATTTTAATTACTTTTTTCTGATTTTTTCAATTTATATATATATATATATAAATTTTTTCTGCTAAAATAAGAGTCGTAGTCTAACTAAGCAGCCCCTAAACCACTAGCCAACGAAGTAGAGTATTTGTCAGCACCGTCAACAACATTTTTCATTATGCAATTATTTTTCATTTTCCATATACATATGTATACAACCCAGATACAACCACAGGGCTGTACCAAAACTTACGTGTTAGATATTGTATATATGGAAAATCCGAGAAATTTGCATCTGCAACATACAGGAACATTATAATTTCATTTGTTTACATTTCTTTAATTTGATTTAATTTTTAATTACTATTATTATTGGTTGAGTTAATTTAAAATTAATTAGTTTTAATTTATGATTTGTAAACTAATTTATTTTGTATACATATATTTATATATATCTTATATGTATATATGACACCATCATTCTAAAATTTGCTTGTTTATTATTAAAATTCAAATATGTATGTCCATAGTATACATAAGACACAATGTATTATGTATTTTACATAATATTATTAATGTTATTATTGAATAAATTCATTTTTTTGTTCACTTGTTTTGATTTGCATCATCAAATTACATTAAATTAGTAAATTAGTTTTATTCATATTTTAATTAGCATTTTGTGTCTGGTGAGTTTCCGAGAGATTGCCTTGAGCATATTGCTTTTGATTAAATTATTCATGCATACGCACATAATCCGAATGCACGCCATTTTCCAACTGTTTTTGTTTTTGATAAATTTAAGCCTTTAATGGTTTTTAAAGTGGAATTTTAATTTTTTTTTAATTTTTTTCTTTTTAATTACCGCAGTTTTTTGCGCACTGACCTATCCTTCGTTTTTTAGCAAGGCTTTAACTGTCTCAGTGTGGGCAGAGTTCTTGGCAAAGTAATTTTTTTTTTTGCATAGATTTCAACTTAATGCTAAACGTTTTCATTAGTATACAAATATGTATAAAATAATTATTTAATGGCTGCCGTAATTTAATTTAATTTAGAAATAAATTGGAATTAATTGTAAATATAATACGCTTAAACTATTATCATAAATTGTTATTAAACTATATGCTTAATAAAAATGTTAAGTAAAATTTATTCAAAGGATTATAAGTGCTTATGAGGTATGCTGTTTTCCGTTAACTAAAACAAAAACAACAATATATGTAAATCATTTTTAATTTAAATCGCCTAAAGGAATCGGAATTAAATAGAAGTTGACCTGGAACCAAATTATTCAAAAAAGTCGAGTTTACTTTCAAATCGTTTTAGATATATGAAATTTTGTACACGGATAGCATGCTTTTATATGGGGAACTATTTATCTACCGACAAGAAGACCAGGGTCCGAACTATTCGAAAAATTTGTGTCAAACGATATGATTTACATAAAATTTGGCACACAATACATGTAAGAGTCTAGCATCGAAATGTAATCGAGACTACTCTTCTTACATGTTGTTTTCATTAAATTCATTAAATACAAAAGAAATTAAATAACATAAATAATTAAATAAAAACTTAGTATAAAATTAAATTAAATTAAAAAATAATGTAAATTAAAGTAAGATAAGTAAAACAAAAAAATTAAATAAAACGAAATCAAATAAGTAAAAAATAAAATCAAAAATCAGATATAAAATAAAACAAATTAAGTAAAATGAAATACAAAAAAATAAATAAAGCAAACAAAATAAAAAAAAACACAATAAATTTAAATAAAGTAGTAAGTAAGGTAAAATAAAATGAAATAAAATAATTAAAAATAAAATAAAGTAAAAAAGAGTAGAAAAAAAAATTCAAAATTTTCAATACACACAAACAAAAATTATACTTAATTAAATGCGTACTAAAAACTAAAAAGGGGAAAATTACACAACTTTTGACTGCATCTTGCCAACTTAAATTACACTGCAATTGTGCTTAAGTAGTTGCCGGAACGCTTGCTCCTGCTATTGCAGTTGCATTTACAACGGCGTTAAATGGCTATAAGCCTGACACAATTTACCAGCTGCCATAATGAAAATTCTTTATAAATGTGTCCCTAAAGGGACCAACAGCAGTGGAGCAGTCAGAAGCAATGGTAGATGCGCAGCATATCGATTTCTTGACATTGCAATGGAATTTATTATTGCGTGCACACATATGCAAATACTGACATCACACACATTGTGGTCGCATAAATTTTCGGCGACCCATAAAATGACGTAAAAAGGAAAAAAAATCAAAAATCTAGAAAAAATGTGGCAACTGGAAAAATCACATGAAGCATTGCTAATGCCAATCATGAGCACCAACTTGGTAGGATTGCAGCAAAAAAAAAAAAAAAACCGACTTCGGTTGGGCTATGTAAGTACGTAAGTGTGTATGGGTGCTTTCCCCCCCCTCCCGCTTTTATTTGCATAAAGATATATGACGAGTAGCACCACCTGTGCACTCAGCATACATTTAGGAGCACTCCAGTAGCAAGCAGCAGCATATCGTCGTGCCATTGCTTTTACAGGTCATAAAATTATCTGCGGAAAAATGTAAAATAAATCAAAAATACGAAAAACGCCACTTTTTTATACATATTTTCTCGTTTAATTTCGCTAGCATACATTTAGTTGCTCGGTTGGCGCAATGCAAATGTGACCGACAGAGAGTTTTGAGTTGAGCGGGTACATGGTGGCATGCAGTCTGATCACCTGGCTGCCTGTTTGGCAACGCAGTTCTCGACCGTCTGTGGCGATATGCAGTGCGAAATTGAAAAGTAAAGTGAAATATTTTTTATAAATACATATATAATGTATGTATATGTAAAAGCATGCATAATTTTAGGAACAGAAAAGTAGATCGTAAAAGCGTTGAATTGATTACGAAACCACACCCAGCAGCAACAGCCAATAGTGAAGGCGTACGGGTATGCCAAAATTTCAATTTCTACCAAAAATAGTAGATTTTATACAATTTCTCTTACATTCTTTTTGTTGTATATTTTACAAATATATTTTTATTATTTTCTCATTTTTTCTCATTACTTTTCCTTTAGCGAAAGCGAGTAAAAAATTTTAAGTAGCATGCTATAAATTGTATGCAAATATATAATATATTTGCTCACACATACAAATAAATAAATCTACTTTGCCTGAACGCCGGCCAAATATTTACCTACACACATGCATATGTACATATTTGTAGGTGTATGCAAATCATATTTATTCAACATCTTCTGTAACATTTCATTTTCAATTTTGCATGATTTAACTGTGGTTTGTGGATTTTTACTCGCATTTGTCTGCATTTACATATTATTCGGCAAATAAAATACCTGCGAATGTGTTGGTTTAAGGGCAGCTTAACTTTTTGGTTATGCAGCGTGGTCAAATATTGCGTGAATATTTTAGGTAAAATATTTGTATATAAATATATGTAAAAACGTATGTGGCTTTTTTCGTTTGAAGTTTCTGACTTTAAGGAGTTTTGTTTTCATGCAAAGAACTTTTCTGCGGATGTTTCGATAAAAGTTAGATAAGAAACAAATATATATATGTATACACTCGGAGGGGTTGACCTTCCCTGCTGAGAGGCGATCGTAATTAGAAAAACTAATTTTCCATCATTTTTGTTATTGAAAAAGTTAGCAACGTCTAATGCTAGAAACTTGTCTCCACTTAAAAATTTTAAATTATATATTAAATAAATAAATAAATAAATACATTTTTCTTTTCTTTAGGTTGCAAAAAAAAATTAAAATTTAAATAATGCCTTCGGCTTATTAAAAATGGCACAAAATATTTTAAAACTTAATTTTTTCATTTTAATTTCAAACATTTATTGTTGGAATTATCATTAACTTAATGCTTTCACCTTTAAAAATTGGCAACAAAAATTTTATTGTAGTTTAAGGAGTTTCAGCTGTTAACTAAAAATTATTAAAAAAACATTGCCTACATTTGGGAGCTTACGAGTGTTTCTTTAAATAATTTTGGGGACCAGAGATTTTTTTTTTAATTTTTATATAAAAAATAAAGTTTTGAGTTATCAATAATTTAATGCTTACTTATTTGAAAATTGGCAACTAAAGTGTTATTGCATACTTTTAGGTGCTCCAGATTTTATTTAAGAATTATTTAAAAAGCATTGCCTACAGTAAGGACCTTTAATAGTTTTTTCTTTAAATAGTTTTGGCGCTGCGATAAACTTTTATTTATATATTAAAAAAAAATATCATTTTGATTAAATTTCAAAAATCGAAATTCGGTGTTCAGAGTGAGTTAATTTTGTCGTGCCTTATAACATCAAGATTGAGGATATGCCAAAATCAGCTCACATCAGATCAATTCATATGCCAAACGGAACCTGTTTTAAAAAAAATTAAGGTCAAATGTAGATCCTTCAACCTTTGCTGAATAAATTAGGAAATATCTTAAAATTTTTTGAATATTATTCCGATTTAACTGACAATAAATTGCAAATATTTTGAGCCTGATTTGAACACCATCAATATCTTCAAAATCATATTCATCATTCTAATAAAAAAAACTTCGATCGATTGCCAAAACTTATTCGAACTTATTTTTTTTTTTAGTTACTCAATGTGGACGTAGGAAAATTACTTCTGCTCAGTAAAGGAAAATTAGGGGACATAAACTTTCAACTAACGAAACTTTTTTACATTTTTTTATATATATTTTTTTCCCTTAATATTTGTGGCTATACATTTTTAGTGATATTGGATTGTAAATTAAACGTTCCTCACATTGGTCTCAAAAAATTTCCTGGATTTATTTATCAATTTCCAAATAATAAAGTTACAGCGCCTAAGAGTATACTTTATGCAAATCTAAAACACAAGGGAGTCATACATTTTTTTAATACAGACAACAAATTTTATTTCAGTTAGTTTTTCCTTTATAATTACAAATACTTTTTTTAATTATATATTTAGAAAAATAAATAGAACAGAAACATTTTTTTTATAGTTTTCACTCCGAAGAGCGCCAAAAATAATATAAGATTGGAAATTTCACGAAAGAAAAAAAAAGTAGCTGAAAACTTGCTGCTTCCAGTTTCCATTTAAATTATGCGAAATCGAAGCAGTTTCGCTACTCTCCTTCGCCTTTATTTATTTCTGAGCTGCCATGCTCTCCACCTCCTTCTCTTCCTATCAACACTTACACAATGCTTCCCAATTTTCGATCATTGCCGCCAACCAAGCATTTAAAATTACACTCACACACACGCACGCACAGAAAATGC